TAATAGATATGTGTTGTATCGTTAACGATTTCCGATACCTATAAGACATATTGTCCTTTCAACTACATGAAAGGCTTCATTTAATGACTCTTGCAATATCGCTTTAATCGCGTAATTCTCTTAAGTATGTGAAAGCATGTGCGCAAGGTCAGAGGTTCTAGCTTTCTGTTTATATGAATTGATCAATTAGATGGAAAAGGAGACTCTCAACGAATATTAGCCGTGCACGATTATCAACATCCGCAGTTTACTACCGAAAATATCGCTCGAAGAAAAATATGTATACGATATTTAAATAAAAAGAACCGGATTTTCTTTTTCGAGAAAAAAGAGAAAGAAGATAATCTAATAACGGTCGAAAATTACTATGCGCCGGAGGTCGTGGAGAAACACGACGCGATACTCGCACACTCGCACGTCGTGTCATGCGGCGTCGCGCCGCGTCGCGGCGCGACGCGCCTTACGCATACAGGGAAACACGTGTCGTCAGCACGCGGCAGCAACGGCGGCGACGTCGAGTAGCGTGTACTCGACCAGCTCGTGCGCGTTACCGCGCCGACGACCGAGTACCGCATGACGGCGCCACGAGAAACGGCGTCGCGACGCTGTCGTCAGGCGGCGCCGGTCGGTCACAGCGAAACAAGGCGGGGTTACGACGACGACGACGTCGACAACGAGTGGGCGCGGGCAAGCACGGCAAAACGCAGCAGCGCCTCCTTCCTCGGAGTCGCTTCTCCGTCGGGATTTCAGTCGCCGCGGCGCGTACGTTTCGCTCGCGACTCCTCGGGGTTCTCTTTAAAGGCGAGTCCGAGCTCACGCGCTCCTTCCTTCGCGGCTCTCTTGTCGGTTCCCACCTCGTTCCCCTTTCCCTCTCTATTCTTCGTTGTCTCTTTCTTTGTCATTCATACTTTCTTGCTTCTCTCTTTCTCTCTTAATACCACTTTCCTCTTCTTTGACTACTCGCGTCCTCTTCGAGATTTCTGCTTGTTCTTCCGCAATAAGTTGTGGTTACCACACTGTCATCCGGTTGCATATTTAGTTTTCTGTGAAGCGATAAGCGATAGTTTCGCGGGAACTTACTGATAATCCAAATAATCTGGCCTGGGGATCAGCCGGCGTACGAACGAGCGCGCGCGTGCTGGGCGTCTTATGTTGCGCGCGGATGCGTATATATGATCGCGATGTGTCGGTGTCCCGGTGCGTATGTGTGCGTGACACGGTACCGGTACGAGGCACGGCGCTGCCCATCGCTCGCCGTCGCTGTCGCTCCGTTTTGACTTCACACCCTTCCGTCGTCAGTGACACTGACTGAAGTTACGACATCGAGAGGAACCCTCGCATGGCTGTTGCGTCGAGTGTCGACCGTGGAGACACTTCGGAGCCGGCTGCGAAGAGGTACGACGTCGTGACGCTGTCTCGTCGCGACGGTTTCAACCCTGCCCTGCAGTGAGTGAGAGTGAGCGGTCGAATTTGCACGTGTATATGTGTCGATAAAGCTGCGTATGTGTGAGTATGCGACTACCATTACTGCGCTTCTTAGCAATAAATACTCGTCATTACAGATACGCTTCTTCAATTATATGCTAAATAGGCTCAGCGTTCACGAGTGAGACAGCGCAAACATGAATTCGTAATACTGACTGGTTGCGTGCGTGCATGCGTGGGCGAGTAGATGCGTGCGTGGTGAGAGCTTTTAAAAAGTTCTGCGGGAAGAAATAGAATAACGTTTGGAAAATTAAATTAAGCGCCTGCTTTTAGTACGATCGCTATAATGGGATGGCGGTCGGTGCTCTATTTCCGAGAAAGCTTCTCACATGATACAATCTAGAAGTTTTTACACAGAAGGAAATTTCTCGTGCATTTCGTTAAAATTATTTTGTGAATTAGCGCTTAAAATCGCTTGTTACTATTCTCTGCACTGTGTTATTATTTTGCTCATTTGCATCAAAATGTCAATTCTCATCTCTATTAAAATGAAGTATCGTGAGTCGCATCCATGTGTGGCGATGTCTCAAGAATCAGACGAGTCATACATCCAAACAACGCGATGAATGCATATGAATGCTATGTACACACATACATATACACGCACACATACCATAAGAAAATAGTATTAGCAAAAGGCGTGTATGCGCGCGCGCGTGCGCCAGTAACGTATTTGAATTGAATCCTAACAAGAAGCACGCGTTCCTCCCGCATGACAGCCGTGACACGACGAGACATGTTTTTCAAACGCGAACACAGGCAATTCACATATCCGCGAACGGTGTATGCTCAAACACACATATAAGTGTCTTTGAACGGTGCGGGAACTTGAGATGCACGTATTCGTAGCGCGTACAATGCCACGGAGATTGCGATCTATCGTGTCGAACGAGATCCCTCTAATTCATCTCCTTTTTACTTCACTTTTATCTTTGCTTTTTGCAGTTGCTTTACGCAACGCGTAAAACGTTGACGACAATCGCTTTTAAATCTGTTGCAGCACAGCGGCATGGCAGTTTATTTACTTCCATTGTCTGCTTTATTTCTCCCGTGGTCGACAGGTATCATCAATGGCTCGTGCTGGATAAAGAAAAAAAGGGATAAAATGGTTTCTGCATTATATTATCGAGAGAATTTATAACTAACGCTGTATAAAATCTAAAAAAGATGTAGAGATTCTCGAATCCCTCGTACGACACGCACGTCGCACAAAATCGATGTCGTTTGAGCGATCGAGCACAACTGCGATAAGCTAAGCGTCGCGAAAAGAGCGAACTGCAGGCAGGCAAGCAGGCGAGCAAGCAAGCAAGCAAGCAAGCAAACGAACGAACGAACGAGCACGCCTGTATAGCACAACAATGAATTTCGCGTGCGGATGATGACGTCGAGCAATATGTTGCAGTAGTCGTTGTGGTCGTCGTCGTCGTATGGCGTAGAGAATTGATCGGTTACGTTGTCGTGCGAGAGCCTTTAACCCCTTCGCCTCCGTTTAATTACCAGCACGCGATCGTCCGCTGGCAGCGCATTAAAAAACGTCAGTCTAATTCGAAAATCCATTTGGCCGCAATTTGCATCGAGGTTGGTGCATGCTCAGTTACTCTCCGGCGCGAGTAATTCGAACATCAGTCAGTCCGTAATAATACGTTTTGTTTCTTTCACGTTACACGAGTTGAGCTCTCTCCCTTCGTCGTGAGTCATTTCGCCCCAACGGTTTCGCCTACCACGACACCGTTCCGTCTGTAACGATTCACATGCAGTGAATAAAATAAGTATCTGTACGGTCTTGAAGAAGCGTATCTGTAATGACGAGTATTTATTGCTAAGAAGCGCAGTAATGGTAGTCGCATACTCTATTTTACGGAATGACTATTGCATTAAGGCAACGCTCCTGGTATTGTCTATTTCTTTTTAATGACGTCAGAAGCGAGAAAATGCATGCTAAAAATTCTTGCGAAATACGTTGAAACAAAAATATATTTCCATAAAGTAACACTTGCAATCGATTAAACAAATTTATAAGATATTCCGTGCACTCACTCCTCTTTTGCTCTAACAATCAAATTACAATAATTTATTGTAAATTAATCCGAATGCCAAGAAATAGGTTAAGAAAATGAAGTATTACACGTTAATTTATGACAAAATATTGATTATTAAAGCAAAAGAGGAATGCACGGAACATTTCACAGATTTGTTTAATCGATCAAGTGTCACTTTATAGATATATCTTTTTATTTCACGTATTTCGCAAGAATTTTTAGCATGCACTTTCTCGCTTCTGACGTCATTAAAAAAAGAGACAATGCGAGGAATTAGGGACCTTAACACGTTGGATACTGTAACTGTTCACTGGTAAACCGGCACTACTGTGTCTCATTGAGTTATATATAAAATATAACTACGTATAAAGTTTAATTGCATTAGGAAAATCGATGGCCAATAGAGAGCCGATAAAACTAAACAAAAGACATATCGCTTCTTAAATTGCAAATGTACCTACAAATCATATATACAAATGTAATTAAAAATTACAAATTTAATTGTAATTAACCAAAGTTGCAAACAAATGTTTATTATATCTCCAGTAACCCAATCATTAATGAAGTTTTTATGCAATGGAAATTAATGCAGCAACAAGATGTTAAGGAGAAAAACTTTCCCATGAGACACTTCATTCAGTAGCAAAGCAGCTAGGGTGAAAACGATAATTCCCGTATACGTCGCGCACAAATGTATTAACGGCCGCGAAAGTATATTCCTCCGCTTTGCGCTCGAGACCCGCCAGCGAGGATCGCTAATAAACAGAATACTCGTGAGTACGTTAACATGTAGGAAGCGCACTTGCGGATGTTCTCAGTACACGTCGCTGCGACAAGCACACGTGATACTCGTGGCGGGTACGACATTATTTCGTAGTTTCGTGTAAGTGCAAAATTAACCCACTTTATGGTCGTGCAAGGCGAGCAATCTGGAATCGCAGTCTACGCGCGCCAAGCATAATTTCATTCAATGCGATATTATGCGGCCAATTGCAGCTTGTAAATTATTCGATATCGCGAATCTATTTGCGAGCTATGCGATATTTTGCACGTAATTATGCGCGATCATCGAAGTGGCACATAATTACACTGGTGTGAGCGAACTGATAGAATTCGGACGATATCAGTTTTCGATAGCTGTAGATACATGCCGGTAACATCGTAGTTACTCCCGCGTCACGAATAATCGTGCGTGTGTGTCTCGAAGTGTGAAATATAATTGTATCAAAACTCGGTGTCTGATAAAAATGTTCAATTCTGTCAATGTCCGGTTTAAACGGTTGAACAAGTCAAGCCTCCTTTTTATATGAATATTATTTGATTGCAGGTATTTGTCGCAACGTCCGACGTCTCGAAAACGTGGGAAATCCGAAACAAACGGTGAACGATTTTAAGTTCTGTATCAAGATAATGCACGAACTGACAGTTCGTAGTTTTGCGCGCGGAACAAGCCAATTCTCATGCAAGTAAAAAGAGAAGCCGAAGGAATGAAGTAATGTGATAATTATTTCGGCATAATTTTGCGTGCAACTTGCCGTAGTCTTAGTTACGAGCAATCGAAAATTGCGACACGCGTTCCCATCTCGATGTTGCCAGACAAGCATCTATGCGAAGAGCAATTGAGTCCTGAAAAGAAGGAATACATAAATATTGTTTGTCGTCTGTAACATCACATAAACAATTTCTTTTCGTCGAATATGGAAGATATAAAGGTGCCGAACTTGGGTCAGGCTGCTTCAGCCGCGTGCTCCATGGCGTCCAATTTCTTGGCACCGGTGAAGACCGAGCGCCAAATCTACGAAAACTCGATGCTCGAGGACGATCCCAATGCCAACTCGGTAGTATCGACCTCTCAAGAAGACAGGACTGTGCCTAGGTGGGGTCCGAATCATAAAGGTGCTCAAGAACTTGCGAATCTTTATAGTACTGGTATGTACACTGCTTCTCTGAAAGAAATTAATTTAAATTAATTAAGACTCCTGGCTCCAGAAATTTTTTTTAATATCATATATTATTTTAACAAAGACATTTTAAAGATTATTATTTTTTTAAATTTACTAATAAATTTACTAGTAATTATGACAAACAACAATGATATATCATTTCCTGACAGGAAAGAGAACACAAGAGTGCATCTGTGTGGGGATTTGCATCACTCTTATAGCTGTAAACTCAATTTTCGTGCTTATCAAATTACGACTGGAAAATTTAAGTTCTATAGCAATGGCAGCCTTGTGCGGCATCATTACCGCTGATTTTGGTTCTGGCTTGGTTCATTGGGCGGCTGATACTTGGGGGTCAGTGGAACTACCGATTCTGGGGAAGGTACGGTACATCTGTAACAGCTGAAACTGATTGTTAGTACGAATTTTGAGACTGTCATTAGAGAAGTATCGTTTTCCTTTCAGAATTTCCTGAGACCATTCCGCGAGCATCATATAGATCCGACCAGTATAACGCGACACGATTTCATTGAGACCAACGGTGATAACTTTATGGTTACGATACCAATCTTATCAAAGCTTACATGGGATTTTCTGACATTGCCCGAACCGGACATGCAACAAAAGTTCGTGTGGACTTGTTACTGGTTTCTGCTTGCAATTTTTGTGGCAATGACCAATCAGGTATGTGTCTAAATTGTAAGCACTAACAATAAAGCTAATTAAGAGAGATCAGGAGAATTCAAATATTCTAGGAATACTTGATTCTTTACATCGTTAAATATTTCGACTCCGATAGAACTCTTTTTCTTTTAACGTTAACGACATGTCCCTTTTAATTAAACAGTATTAAACATAACATCTGCGAGATCTTGTGCTTTCCAATGTCTACTTTCGTGTAATTAAAAATGATGTACAAATGATGTACATGTTTTACAGATACACAAATGGTCGCATACGTACTTCGGTCTGCCAGCCTGGGTGATTTGGCTTCAAGAACATAGGATTATCTTGCCAAGAAAGCATCATCGAGTGCATCATGTCGCGCCTCATGAGACTTATTTCTGCATCACCACAGGATGGTTGAATTGGCCTTTAGAGAAATTACATTTCTGGTATATCATGGAGGTGATCATCGAGGGTGTCACCGGTTGCAAACCCAGGGCCGACGATCTGAAATGGGCACAAAAGCGCTCTTGAGAATTAATAATCATCCTGCTGTCGTTATACATTTTGTACAAACAGGATATTTAACATACAGCCAAATGTTTGAAAGAAATACGAACGGCAAACTACAACGAGGTAGAAATTAAGTGGAAAATCTGTATGGGCAATAGTAAAAGGCTTGCAACACGGAATCTTTGATGTTTCGAGAAAGAAAGAGGTGTAATGAACGAGTACGTAACAGAAAATGTTCAATAGTTGGCACTCTTGCGCGAATATTATCATATATTAAGGTATATAGGGATTTAAGAGAAAATAAATAAAAATTAAAATTAACAATAAATAATTGCTAAATAATTAATAAATAATTAACAAATCTCCACACATCTTAATATTTGATGAAATCCGAGTAAGAATGCCGAAAACTGGTGCTGTAATGAGTGCCGGATAGTGAACGTTTTCCCTTACCCGGGAAAAAATGATTTTATATGTAATTATATAAAATTTTATCTAATTATATATGGCTCATATACAGAATTTGGTGCAATATGACCATATATATAATCATATATAATAATATATGTCTATATAGAAAAAAATGCTTTAGAATGAAAAAAGGAAAAAATAATTTCATTCAATTGAACGTTATTCAATTATAAGCTGCTACAAACATGAGCATTTACTTCAATTGTATTGTCTTAGCACAACAGCTTTTTTCGATATATATATATATATATATATATCGAATATATATATATATATTTTCGATATATATATATATATATATATATATATATATATATATATATATATATATATATAAAGTGTTTCAGGAGGAAATGATTTTCGGTATTATTGAATTTCGATACATGCAGTAAGGTAAAATTATCAATTTCCGAACACGTATCTAATTCTAGACATTCTTATTGTCTTGATTTTTAAATACGAATATTGAAACTTTCAACATAGGATATATTTACATATTCGGTAGGTCGATATACATT